ATTGAATAGCTTTGGGATTGAATTTCAATCACAAGTTGTACTTAATTGATAAATCTTCAAAACTTGGATCTTGTGCCATCAAACTTCTAAAGCAGGCTAATTCTTGGTTTTCTTGTATCAGAAGGATGTTCTACTATAAGAGAAGGGACGTGATTGAATACAGATGTTGAAGTAGCTTCAATCATATCTATATCTTCACTTCATGCCATTCTTGTTACTTCTTGTGGTGGTAAATTGAGTTGATGCATTGCAAGTATTAACTCCCTCAATTACTCTTGTATTTGTGCCATTTAACTCTTCATTTTAACAAGCTCTGCCATAATAATACTTAAAAAAATAAATATCTAATATTGCTCAAGACAAACAAAAGAAGAGACTTGAGAACAAAAAAGATACTAAGAACAATATTAGTTTAAATGAGAGTAATCTAAAACTTCTAATATGCTAATGGCTTATCAAGAAAAAAAGATAATCCACTCTTAATTAAGAAAAGACAAAGCTCTAATATTGCAAGTGTATTCTTGTCAATCTATCAAGGATATGAACTAGAAGAAGATGCATAAACTTGAAAAGTCAATGTTAAAAGAAAAGTGACAAAATAACAGTAAAATAGTATGTATACTAAAAAAAACTAGAATGGCTATTGCCAAAAGACAAAGAAATTAGAGACTCTTAAATCTAGACTAGAAACAAGAAAGGAGTTGACAAGAGTGAAGAAGGCTTTATTTTTGCTTCTATATATATTATCTAACTAAGAGCTACGTGACAATGTTCTATAAGACTTCTAATATGTGTTGATTTTGTAAGACACATGTCTTAGTTTATAAGGCAAATTTTCTACATATGGGCCACATAGTTAGCTTGTTCTTCAAGCTACCAACATGTGTGGCACATGGCCAACATGTTGACCACGTTTCTAATCTAAAAAGTCAATTATAGATATCTATAAAGTTAAAGCAACATCTATGAAGCTTCTAAAAAGCTTCTATAGAAGATATTATAGAAGTAACCTACTTTTATTTAATTTTATCTAATCATATAAGTAATTATTGATTTACATGTGTATGTCCATGACACATGAATTGATATTCAAAAAGAATTAATTGTCAAACTAGATCAAAATCAAACCCTAAGGTACAAAATCATGCATCTATGGTAACTTTGAAGATTCTTGTGTAGATTAAAGAGTGAGATTTGAGGATGAACTTAAAAAAAGATTTTTAGGTATTGGTTTTATGTATTTTAGATCAATATTGAAATTTTGAGGGATTTTCAAAATTAGTGATGTTCTTGATGAGATTAGGATTTAAAAAATAAAAATATATTTTAAAAATTTGAGGATTTCTTGAATTTTGTAGTATAAGTACAAGTGAAATTTGGGCAATGTATTGATATACTAGTTATAAATGTGTATACAAATTTTGAAGTTAATCAAATAGTAAGATTGAAGTATATGAGGGTTTTTGTGGGTTGAAGTTTCAAAAATTAGAGTTTAAAGGTTAGTAAGTGTTTCTTAGATCTTTAGCAATTTGTCAATTAGATTGAAATGAAATTTTTTATATATGGATATTAGACTTAATTTCAAATATTTAGATGAAATTTGAGATGAATTAAATAGTTCAAGAAAGAGATATTAGTGCTGAAAGTTTAGCATTCAGATTAGAATATAAGGCTATCTAATACCTGATTGAATTATCTTGCAATTCCCTCAATTGGTATGTGCAATTGACTTTATCTTTCTTCTGTGTATTTTTAACTAAGATGTTAAGTATGTAAATTTTGAATTAATATCAATGGTTTGATCATTACTTGTTAAGATTTCATTTTGCTATAAGTGTTAACAGTTTGTCTATGGTTTGATTAGGACTTAGGATTTTTTCTAAGATTTGGTTAGGATTAGAATTTGGTTAGGATTTGGTTAGGACTTAGGATTTTTTTTAGGATTTGATTAGGATTAGGATTTGGTTAGGATTTGATTAAGAAATTGATTAAAATTTAATTAGATTTTATTTAAGGTTTAAGATTTCATTAGGATTTGATCTAGAATTTTGTCAAGGTTCAATTAGGATTTCAATTAAGGTTCGATCTAGAATTTGATTAAGCTTCAATTAAGATTTTAATTAGGATTATTTTAAGTTTTCTATTTTTAATATTTCTTTAAAGATTTATTTTTATATTTCTATAAGATTAAATCATGACTTCTTTTCTGACTTCTTTTAAATTTATTTCCATAGATTAAAGTTTCATTGGATTTATTAGGAATTAATTGAAGTTTATTTAAGGCTTTATTAAACTTGGTACAATTGTTATTGCATTTTTACTTATCTTCCATAATTAGATGCCTCATACATTTTGAAGCAAGAACACACATAATATGACAACGAGAAATTCAAGACAAGGGTGTGGACTAAGAATAGAAACAAGAAATAGAAGCAAGGAACAAAAATAGAAACAAGAGTTGGAGAAATTAGGATAGGAGATAAGAAAGAGGTACAATGATGGTTTTAATGGATGGATCAATTTAAACACTACTTGAATCAATTTAACTTATATATATAAAAAATAAAAAATGGCATGTAATTTTATATATATATATATATATATATATATATAATTGATATATGATTATTAGAAATAATATAAGAAGTATATATATTACAGGTAAAGTAATAGTATAACAATAAGGATAAAATAAAAAGATTAAATAAAAAATAATTATTTAATTTAATTTTTAAAATATGATACTTTTAAAAATATTTTTTATTAAATTATCTTTAATGAATAGATTTTGTTAAAGTGCTGAAAATTTTATTAAAATCTTATTTTAAAAAATATTTAACTTAATTTAAAATTATCTTAATTCATTATTTATACATTTAATCTATTTTTTATTCAAATTATTTTTTAGAAACTTTAAACTTGATGTTATATATTTCTAGAAGAGATTTTTAAATCATTTTAAGTTAATTAATACCCTTTTATCTAAAAGCTAGCAATTGAAAATAAATTATTTTCTTAAAAGTACCCTTTTGTAGTATTAATTGAAAAATTATAAAATTCTCTCATAATATTTGTTGAAAGTTGCATAGATATATAAATCATTTGATTAAATAGAATTAAATAGAAATAAATATTATTATATCAAAAAAATTATTTAAAAAATATCAAAAAGATCTTTTTACATATGAACTATGTTTGTAATTTTTTTAGATGTGCCATAAACTTGTAAAATTTTTTAAAAAAGTGTTTAATATGTAAAAAGCTACTAAAATTTTAATACTTTATTTTAAAAAATTATCAATTTTAGAACACTTTTACACAATCTTTATATTTGAGTGTATAAATATATAAGCATAAATCAAGATACTTTGAATTTTACATGTATTTTTCTTGCATTCTATTCTTGATTCAAAACTTTCTACTTTATTATTACTTTATATACCATATATTTTCATTCTTAGTAGTACATTACATTATCTCTTAATAATTCTATGTAAAATCATGTCTATTAGAAAAAAAATTGCCATTATTTTTTTTTTTTAGTATTTTAAATAAATCATGATAATATCAGACTATCCAATGAGTATGTTTTATAAGAATTTTTTATACTTACTTTAGAATTTATTTTTAAAATTAAATTTAATAATTACTAAAAGATAAATAATAAATTTCTGAAAAAATCAGAAAAAATAATATATATGTATATATATATATATATATATATATAAGATGATGATTTTTTTTAAGTACCAAAAAAAAAATGAAACTTGTGTATGATTAGATTATAAAAAGACATTAACAATACCAAGAACAATCTTAAGCATATCTGTATATCTATATATATTAGCTAACACAAAATTTATGTAAAAACTTCTTAAAAACTAGAAGACTTACAAGATAAACATTTCAATTAGATAAAAAAAATCATAATAAATCATTTTATTTTTAAAAATTATATTTTTTTTATATTTCTAGCTGCTTAAAAATTTAGGAGTATTTAAATTTTTAATTAGTATTCAGAAAAATCCTTAATATTTTATAAGAAAATTATTACTAAACTAACTTATTTTTACCTTCTTTTATTTTAAAAAATTGACTAATTAAGATGATATAGATGTTCAAGTCATCTATTCTCTTTTTTCTTTTAGAAACATTTTCTACAAAGTGCTATGGGATTATAAATTTTTTTGTTTGAATGATAGTTGCTATAATTTTGAATGTGACTTCTTAAAAAAAATGATAATTCCTTTGAATAATTAATAATATTTTATAAATACACAAAAAACCACCTAAAATTATGATTGTTGTTAAAGCCTTAATAAGTACCTTGAAGTCAAATATTTAAAATACCATCAGAAATGCTATTTATTTCCAACCACATCACCAAGTCCCAAAGGTTTCTTTCAAAAATACATGTGCTTTATTGCATTACTAAATTATTATTAATAAAAATATATATATATATATATATATATATACATACAGAGAGAGAGAGAAGATCTTCATTTTGATTTTGGTATATAATTTTAACAACATAACATCCTAAATAGTCCTTTAAAAAAATCCATTGATGATGATTGTTGAAACAATTTATTGTTTGCTAATTCTTCATCATATCAAAGAAAAACCTTAAAATTATATATACACTTATTAAAATAATATTTTTCCCCAGATGAAGTCTTTAAATTTTCATAATTATTTAAATATTTAAAAAGATAAAATAAAAAAATGACGTTAAATGCATAGCATGAAATGAAGGGGTTAATTCTGAAGGAGTCGACGAGCACTCTCTTCTCTCAAAGCCATGAAAGGAATGCCAGAGAGCAGCAATCGTGCACTGTATTTAGTATCCCTCCCATCCCGAGAAGCAGCAACAACACCACTGGAGGAGGATGAAGTCCAGGAGGGCCATCCATCCGCGGGGTAAAGGAGCTCTGTGCAGAGCGTGCAGGGGGGGGGGGGGGGGGGGAGACTGAGGAGAGGGGAGGGGACGGGGGACGTGTGGGAGAGAGACGCAATGCTGGGCTGTGCTGTGTTATTGTGGTGGAGTTGTGCGGGGTGATGCGGTGTTGTGTGTCGGGCATGGAGGAGGGCTTCCTCTGAATGTCATGAGCCTGCCTGCTCCGTCATTGCCATTGTGATCGCCATCTTCCTCATCATCGTGGGCACGGTACACCGTAGCTTTGGGCTCCATGGGAACTATGACTGTGGCGCCCGGGTTGGCGCGCAAGCTCAAGAAGGTGCTGGAGACGCGCACGGATTCGCCAGATCTGCTGGCATCGTTGGGCGCTTTGTCCTCGCTCTACACCGACAACACTCAGCAGGCAAGGCGGAGCTTGCGTGCCACGATCGAGAGGCGGGGTTTGTCTATCAATGAGGAGTTCCTGCGTGCCTCGGAGTCGGCGCAAAAGGCACTGGACGCTGTGGAGTTGGAAGTTGCGGGGCTGGCTGAATGCTGTGAGAGGTAGTGGCGTTGTTTCATAGTTGCCCATGTGTATGTCTTTGAATCTCGGTTGATTTGCTGAAGAATAAAGATGCTTTTGTAATGTATATGTGCAATTTCAGAAGTCAGTCTCGATGCGGGGCAATCTAGGGTTCTGTGCGATCAATAGCAAAGATGACTATGTACGGGCGAAAGAATAAAGTCTATTAAATTTAGAAGGTTAGGATTTGATCCTAGGAGCCGAATTAAGCAGTGATTGATCCTTAGTTGCAAGGAAAAGTAGAATTTGGCGGTTTAAAGGTCTAGCAGTTGCCCATTGTCTACTCGGTTTGATTCCGTATATCGTAATTTGAGAGTTGTGCAAAAAGTTCCCCTGAAACTTCAGAAAACTTTGCCTAATGAAGCGAGGGGTTTGAATGTTGGATGACTAATTATGATCTTTAGCAACCAATGCACACTATGATAGAATGAAGAATCAGTTGCTAGGATCAAATGGATCTCGGGTAGATTTGTTTCTCATGTGGATGCCATGTTTTTTTCAGCGATCTTTTCATCATTGATTGCAACGAACTATTCGACCGAGTGTTACAATTGCAGGTGCTTTAGTACCTTCCGCTGCTTGAAAGAATGATTCCTTGCACTAACATAAATTTCTCTCTTTCGCATCAGGATTGCGAAGTCTCTAAGTAGTTGCAGCAGCACTACCAGCGAGATCGTGAGTGCTACCGAACGGCTAAAGCAAGAGTTAGAGCATACCACTCAACGTCAGGAGCTGATAACTGCGTTTTTGAACAATTACCAGCTTCGGCCGGAAGAAGTCACTGCCCTTCGAGAGGAAGATATAAGTGAGAATTTTTTTAAGGCGTTGATGCGGGTCCAAGAGATTCATACAAACTGCAAGATTCTATTGCGGACGCATCACCAGCGCGCAGGGTTGGAGTTGATGGATATGATGGCCGTCTACCAGGAAGCTGCATATGAACGGCTGTGCAGGTGTGTGCGATGTACCTGTATCTAGCTATTTTTTCTTGGCTTGTTTCGTCTTGGTTTCATGGTTCTTTGGGTTTCTGTGTTGTGCTTTTGTGCAACCTGATGGAAAGGTTTGTACGTATATGTTGGGATATCCAGATGGGTACAAGCGGAATGCCGTAGCCTGGGCGATAATGACACTCCTGAAGTTAGCGATCTTCTAAAAGCGGCAGCGCAATCGCTGAAAGACCGACCTGTACTCTTCAAGTACTGTGCGGAAGAGGTAGCTAACACACGTCACAATGCCTTGTTTCGACGGTTTATCACTGCGCTTACACGTGGTGGTCCCGGAGGGATGCCAAGACCTATTGAAGTGCATGCACATGACCCTCTGCGTTATGTTGGTGATATGCTTGGCTGGATTCATCAAGCTCTAGCCTCAGAGCGAGAACTGGCCATGGCCTTGTTCAGTGCGGAGCAAAACATAGGAACTACGTCCAAGAGATTTTCAAGTGAAGCTTCAAATATGGGTAGAACCACCCCCAAGGAATGGGAAAGGGAAGATCAAAAGGCGGAGACTGATATGGGTTATGTGCTGGACAGAGTATTTGAGGGTGTTTGCAGGCCATTTAAAGTGCGCGTGGATCAAGTCTTGCACTCCCAGCCTTCATTGTTATTGGCTTACAAACTGAATAACCTTCTCGAATTCTACGGGCATACTGTTTCTGAGCTCCTAGGTCCAGGAGCCACGCTTTCGGTGACAATTCGTGAAGTCCGCGACGCTGCTCAACGTACTGTCTTGGACATTGTGAAGGTGCGGGGCGACAAATTGCTACGTTACGGCTCTGTTGTGGCCGTAGACCTTTCTCCGCCTCCGGCTGTTAATGAGACCATGTCCGTTCTTTTAGAGCTGGTTTATAACTACGAGACCATGATGGTTCCTGCGGGCGGGAAAAAACCTGATTTTGAGCCGATTATTCAAGGACTTCTGGATCCTCTCGTACAGATGTGCGAACAATCTGCTGAAGCCTATGGAACCAAGCCACAGTCAGGTATTAGACTTTACCACCTGTATCACAACTTTCTGCCTAATTTGTGTGAGCTCGTATGATTTTGCGGAGTCGTTGCAGAGCGCGTTACTGTTCCAACTCTTAATCGTTATATTAGTTGACCGCATTTTCAGTGGCACGTCCTTGCCTCTTTTGCATCGGCCCGACCTCTTTCTGATCTACTTCCCGAGAATTTGAATTGCTGAATGTACTTGTTTTGTGGAAATAATATTTTTTCTTAATATGCGACTTAGTAGGACTTCCTTCAATCCTCACTCCTCTGTATTTATTACGTAATATTATCAGGTCTGAGACGCAATAGTGGAGAAATCCCACCGTCGGGGCGTAGACTTCCAAACATTTCTCCTTCACAGAGAAGGCCGTCATCGGTAGAGACTCTTCTAAGTGGCAAGTCCAATTCTTTGGCTTCACGGAGTGTGCTGTCCCTCCGGAAGATGTTCCTCATCAACTGCTTATCAGCGATACAGGAGCCCTTGAAATCACATTCAGTGGCCGATGCTTACGTGAAGATTCTGGCCGCTCGTGTAGAAGGTAATATTGCGGCTCTGGCCGAGTCAGAACTTGCAGTGATTCTGGAGCGCTGCGAGCTTCAGAAGAAAGTATCCTACATCAAGAACAGAATACGTAAAAGCCAACTCGGCGAAATCGTGCCGAATGAAGAAGATGTTGATGATGGGAAACCCATAGCGGAAGCAGAAGGCATGTCTCCGTCTGCTGTTTCAGAATCTCTGAAACTGCTCTTTGGTCTTCTGAGTGGCAGTGAGGGAGCTATTCCAGAATTTGAGCAAATCCAAGTCCCACAGTTTAGAAGCGAATCATTTGGACGTGTGGGTAGAGCAGTAGCTGAGGCTTACGAGCTCATGTACAATGCAGTTATGAATCCTGCTAATGGCTACCCGGATCCAAAATCAATGCTTCGGCACTCACCTGATCAGATAAAAACGATTCTTGGAGTGTAACTCTCTATGAATCAATTGTAATTCTTTCTCATACTTATATCGTAAAAGGAATATTTACCTTGCTGATGTGTTCAGTTTTACATGTTTTTTTTTAAACTCTCATATTGGGCAAATGCAATCTTTATTGAGTGTTATTTCTTGGGAGTAAAGGAAAATTAGATTTTAGTGCAGGATCATTTGATGCAAGTCAAAATGTCAAATAGAAGTCGAAACCTCAACATTGATATCTGTTGTGACTAGTGGCGTTTACGTTCATTTGCAGGGAATTTGCAAGTTTACACATGTTGGCTTTTAGCAACCATAGTTCAAATGTCATTGTAATTTTGAAATTTTACGCCTCTTCGAATTCTGAAATTGACTTTGTCTCTCTTCGTCATATATCTTTCGATAATTTTTTAAAAACTTCCTCGTATACATCAGACTTAAGAAAAAAGTTATGAAAGAAAATGATAATATTGGCAAGTTTTTACTCAAAAACTATTTTGTAAGAAATATCAGTAACAAAACTAAGGTTGCAATATTTAACAAGGATTAAGTTTTATTTTGTCCACTCAACATGTAAATAGGTGGTGTATCTTTAATAACTGAATCTATTCAGAAAAATATTATTAGATTTGGTGATATAATTCAAATAAAATTGACTAGTTTTGGTGTCGCTTAAAATGGATTTGAATTTGTAGGAAGTAAATTTTTAATTAGTTGAATATTTGTCTCAAACTTTTTCAGAATAAGATTGACATCTAAAGTTTCTACTCATGCACAAATATTTTTAACAAAATTAACCTTTAACTCTTTTTGTAAATTATTACAGATGGAAATACGAACCCAACAATTGTGCCACTAATGACTTGTGATTGAAATATCTCAGGGAAGTCTATATGAAATTGTCAAAAGGTTCTTCGTGAGTGCAGCCCCAGATTGAAAGAATTGGACCATCTTGCTTACGTGTAAGGGCCGACGTGGCAAACAACCCCAAATTGCCGAGGGAGAGGGAGCCACTTCCAGTATCATGGCATATTGGAATTCACGAAGTGCATTTTAGAACAAACCCAGCGAAGGGAGCCACACGCTGAGAGGTCAACGTGATTCGAGGTTGGGTCTAAGACCAGTTAGGTTTGATACCCGTTAATACCCGTTCCGTGCCACCCACAGTAGTAGTATGATCTATCCATGAAGCAAGCAGTCAGATAGATGGCTTCAGATCTCGCGTCCCTCAGTGGAGCACCCCGAATCCTGCCTCTCGGATTCCGAAGCCCAACCCCCACGAGCCAGCCAGCCCTCTTACTACACCTTCCTCCGATGCAATGCTGCCCCTTTCATCCTAAGAGATATCTATTGTCTTCCTCCTCCCTGCCCTCCCTGCGATATTTCCATCTACATTTTTGGAACATTTCTCGCAACATTTCTCTGTCCACCACACTCCTTAACACAATTTCCTCTCTTTTCGAGGTATTGCTTCATTCCCTGAAGGGCTTGCACTTTCGCCGTGTCCATTTTCTTGCTCAAGTCGGGCTGGATTCTTGGATGGCCGTTTTTCAATTGAGTTCCAGAATCATGTAAATATTTGGTTCACCTTTTGTGTTGTGCAGTTGGAAGCTCTCTTGACAGCGTGTTGGTGCTGAATTGGGTGTCTAACACCCAATTTGAGCTTCGGGGACAAGCGGTGGAAGTCAGGATGGAGGCTGTGGCGTGCAGAGCAGGTGCGGCAGTCCCGTCTTTGGTAGCTTCCGCTTCAAGAGTGTCCTCCTCCGAGAACTCGAAGGTGCTGGGAAGAAGATTTCACTCTATAAATTTTTCTGCTGTGGTGTTGACAAGGGTAAGTTCGAAGCGGGCTGAGAGGAGGAACCCCGTTGTGTCGGCAAAGGCTAATACTCAAGGGGAGGCCCTGCAATCCCTCTCGAACGTAGTGACAGATGATGCCGTACCTGAAGGCCACAAGGGTCTCCACGGGTTCCTGTATGGAGAAGGTGGTGCTGAGGTTCATGGCTCCGCAGGCAACAAATTCAACGGAGTAGAGGGAGAAGACGATGGGAATGCTATCATCTTATATGAGGATTACGTCTCTTTTCGTAAGAGTTTCAAGTTTGCAGGTGTTTTTGCGATCTATGACTTCCAGGATTCGTTACAGTATGTTAACTACTCTCGGCATGTGGTGTCCACCCTTAGAAGCTTAAGGGCTAGGGTTGGAGAAGAGAAATGTAGCTCCGTGCGAGTGAAGATATATACTGACTCCTCGTTGATCACGCGTGCAAAGCTGGAGGAGGATAAGCAGAGTTGGTTAGATTCCCTGGGTTCTGCTCCTGGGAATTCTACAGAGAAGCACTTGTGGGAAGGAGCTGGTAATAATGTGGCCCTTATGTCGGAACAAGAGAAGATTGAGTACGAGGAGAAGAAGCTGAAGTTGCGAAAAGCCATGGGCGAGAACTTGTTTGATGATGTTGCTGGGGAGGATGATGATACACGCACTCGCAGACTCAAGCTCCTTCAGGTAAATTGTGCTTCCCTCAGTCCAGCTTCGTGATCTGTAATGTGGAGATTCTTCTTGAAGAGGCAGTTGAGTTGTATCTGCGTCTTGTGCAGGCTGTGGAAGGAGATGACTGGAGTAGCGTCATTGATGGCCAAACAAAGCAAACTCTAGACCCTCGAGTTTCCAGCGAAGTGGCTGTGAAAGAGAAGAGTGTACATAATGTGGCTGATGAACCCATGGCGGCTGGAGCTGACGAACAGATTGTTAGTCCATTTGCTTCAGGCTCTCAGGTGGGAGGAGGACTGTATTCAGCAGAAACTTACGAGTTTACCGTGGAAAACGTGGACAAAGTTCTCGACGAAGTTCGACCTTACCTGATCGCCGATGGAGGCAATGTCGAGGTTGTGGCCGTGAAAGATGGAGTGGTTTCGTTACGATTACAAGGTATGTCTCGCTTTCTTGACTTGGTGATTGTTTAAAAACTTGAATAAACGTAACCAAGTATAGCACATGCATCAAACTATTCACTAATAAATTATTTAATTATTTATTCAACGTAAGGATCTTTGTCGAATGGATTACAAGGATTGCATTGTACAAGTTTATGCAGGTATTTATTTATTTATTTATTTATTTCAGGTGGTTCTCAGGACCTAACGTTCCGATGCAATGGATTCAGAATAATTTTGCTCAAGGAGATGAGAGCAGATATTTGTGCAATAGTAGCCTTTTAAACTGTACTGCATGTATTGTTGCGAATTGTCATGTACTGACGTATTATCTCCACATGGCTTGTCATGTAGGTGCCTGCGGCACATGCCCAAGTTCCACGAGTACAATGAAGATGGGCATTGAAAGAGTCCTCATGGAGAAATTTGGAGACGTTTTGAAGGAAGTAGTCCAAGTTGACAAGCAGGATATCGGTGCTAGCGTTCTTGTAAGCTCGAGTTACTCCTCTCTGTATCATACTACGTGTAGCATATCATGTGAATATTTTTAATTTTTATTGGAATAAGACACTTGTTCATCCCTAATGTGAAAAGACATGTTACGATGGTGGTCATGGAGTCCAATAGATAGTAACTGGCGTGATTCGCATAGATTAATCTTTGTTGAATTTTAGAGAATTTCTTTTTTGACTATAGTCCAGTTTCCGAAGATTTTAATGAAAAACAGCAATTTAATTTTTAACCCTGGTTTTGTGTATGTCCAGGCTGTTGACGAACATTTGGAAATGTTGAGGCCTGCTATCCGTAACTACGGTGGTTCAGTTGAGGTGGTATCCGTGGACACGGTAAAAGGCGAGTGTCAAGTCAAGTACCATGGTCCTGCTCCTATTGGTATGGGTATCCAAGCAGCCATCAAAGACAAGTTCCCCGATATCCAGGTGGTCATTTTATCAGCACCCTGATGTGGGCGGGTGCCTAGAATTCTAGTCTAGAATGACTAGTTAATAGTTTTTTTTTACTAAGTAGGACTAGTATATTCCCTGTAGTCTCGAAAGTTGAGGTGCTTGAAAAATTCAACTGTACTCTTAAGGCGTTACCTTAATATTGCATGGGAATCCATAAGTACTCGACTGCTGATTCTTGTGAAATTGTCTTGGTGAGCTGATCAATATTTTATGACTTTTTTACCAACTTGTATGTTAAGTTGAAAGTATTATTGGCAATGAATGTCTTACACTTAAATGTTTAGTATTGAAGAAGTTGGTAATATTTTTGGCAAAGCCTTAGTTTACAATAAAATTCTATGTTAAATCAAAAAATCAAAAATTCAAAAATAATTGGTGTAAGTTTCTCAATTAGAAGTAGCTAGTAATTTGAATTGTTTGTAATGTTGTGTTGATTGTGTCAACTCAGCTCTGACCGATCAATTTACATGAAACAAACAATCATCAAAAAATAGACTTTTGTAGTTTCAAACTAGCAGAATTTGTAGGATGCACCCACAAAAATAATTATAAGTAAGGGTACAAATCAAAACAACAACAAAAAATAAAAATAAAATAAAATAAAAAATCTCAAAGAGATGCACAATTCTTCTCTTCTCCAATATAGTTCTCCTCCTCAAAAGATGAAAGAGGACTTCTTGGGTCTCCATTTGCCTCCCTTCTCCTCACTTGCCACAGTTCATCATTGCTGCTTCTCTTCACATGGTCTTAGTCATGTGCACCTCAAGTAGGTGATTTGGAGGCATGTCTAGAGACATTGTTGTTATCTAAAATCTAAAGGTTGAGGTCCACTTGGTTGCTAGAATAGGAACAATGTAGAGAGCAATGCAAGATTGACAAGGATAATATAGAATGCAATGATTTGACCAAAATGCACCATGATCCACTTTGATAAATTTGTAATAGAGAAACAAAGAGATTATGTTGCATATATATATATATATATATATATATATTTATAAACAAATACAACTTATTGATAGTGTATGACAATATGCTACACAACTAAAGACTTTGTTGTACACTAGATTTGGTTTATTACCAGTAAAAGCCTCTTTTAGTGTCATAAATCAAAGAGCTTTTGTAGAACATCCATTATGGATATAATTAACTATTCTTACAACTTCTCATTAATACTTAAGTACTATTGTTTCAATAATAATACTTTGTACTCCCTTTGAAATGAATTTAATTTTTTCTCTACTATGTAGTTTGATTGTGGTGAATATGATGAGGTAAGTTCTCTCTTAATCCCTTGTGTTAATAATAACTTAAAATTTTTCTTGATACGTACTTGCTTCTATAATCAATAAGAAGATATTTGACTCTTTTGTTCGGATTTTTTAATAATATTTTAAATTCTTTGAACTTTTTTAAGAATTTGAAATTTTTCTCATAAGAAATATAACCACCTCCTTGCATATAATCATTGATGAAGGTTAAAACAAATGTATTCTTATTCTTTGATAGAAATATTGAAGGCCCACATAAATCAAAATAAATTATTTTTAATTATTTGGATGTGAAAGTACTCACTTTTTTAGGAAAGTCCTCTCTATGTATATATTATTTAATATACAACTCTTACATATTTCTTTCTATAAGAATATTTACAAAATTCTATCAATTAACCTTTTGTTAGATAAGTATTATAAGGATTAGAAATTAAAATAAAAAATCCTCTTTTATTAGAGTCAAATAATCTCTTTACAAATATTTGGTATTTTTGAAAAAGTACCTTGTTTGTTTTTATAATATTGTTGACTTTTTAAATCTTATCATCTTTTTCTTAATATTATAAAGTTTATTTTTTTCTTTAATCACTTGTAAATAAATTATCCTTATCAAATATATAACAATATTTATAATTAAATAATATAATGTGGTTTAAAATTCCAAACTTATAAATTAAAAATAATTTTTTTACTCATAAAACATAAAGAACATTCTTTACTTCTTTTATTTCTTCAAAGGAATTTTCAAGAAATACATCTTATTGTCCAAGTACATACACAGTTTATCTTCTATCCATTCTAATATTAGATACATTTGAATCCTCTATTCTTATCAATAACTGTTTATTTTTTATCACATGTGAGTTTGGTCTAGAGTCTACAAACCACTTTACATGTTTGTAGATTCTAGATCAAATTTACATGTGATAAAATGTCATAGACATATACATTTACTCCAATAGTTACTTATATGATTAGGTAGAAGGAGGTAAATATAAATTAATTTCATAAAATCTTCTAGACTAGCTTCTTAGAAGCTTCATAGATGTGGTATTGACTTTAGATGTATTTGTAGGTTAGAAACTTGGACAACAAGTTAATCACGTGTTAGTAGTTTGTGGAACAAGCTAACTATGTGGCGCATACATATATAACTTGTATTGCAAGTTAAGACATGTGGCTAGCAAAGTCAACACGTTTTAGAGGTCTTATATGACATTGCTACGTAGCTCCTAGTTAAGAGTATATATGGATGCAAAAGTAAAGCCTTCTTTATTCTTGTCAAAGCCTTTCTAGTCCTTAGTCTTCTTTCAAGACTTTCTTATCTTTTTTTTTTTAGCAATAATTATTCCAGTTCAATATTATATCATTTATAGATGACTTTCTAGTTCTCTTTACTGACACAAGAGTGTATTGAGGATTTTTTTTCTTTGATATTTATGTCTCTAATATTTTGACAAGAGTGCTAACATATTGTTTTTGTCTTGTTTTAGAAGTGAGTAGATTATCTCACTCCTATTGTTGTAATTTGAAGGTTGTGGACTATCCACTATTAAACAAAAAATCTTATTTTTTAACACTGATCTTTTTCTTAAAAAAAGTCAATTATTCTTCTTAGTAGAAATTTTTATTAGAGGTTGTCGATTATCCTCCTCTAATTTAATTTTTTGGATTTATTTGAGTTGTCTCTGGAAGAAAAGATTATGGATGCTACTCCTAGCGAAAGTGAGAATAAATTTGCAACTGTTGCAAATCTTCACGAACTTATCAACACTCTTAGGGTGAAAATTTCATGCATCACCAATGCCAACCATGGAAGCACTACTTCTATACTTATGGAAGAAGTCTAGAGTCTATATCAAGAAGTTGTGTAGTTGAGAGAAATAATCTAATCAGCCTTACAACCAAATTCAAGGGGTCTTGCTTCTACAAACTTAAGAGAGGCATGAATTAGTATGCTCGAGAAGTTTGATAGAACAAGATCAAAAATTTCAAGGATTTTTATAATAAGTTAAGATCTACTTAAACTTACACCATTTCCAATATGTGGATGGATTTACTCAAGTCAACTTCATATATACACTTCTATCTAAAAGTGCTCTTTCTTGGTTTGTACCTTTAATAGAAAAGAATTCATGACTTTTTTATGATTTAAATTCATTCTTAGAAGTATTTACGGCTATATTTGGAAAAATTGATCAAAAATGATTAGTAAAGATTAAATTCTTATCTTTATAATAAGGATTACAATCAGCCACCACATATGCTGTTGAATTCCAAAACCTCGCTTGCAACATGGACTAAAATGACATAGCACTTATCAATCAATTTTGATATGGATTGAAAGATAGCATTAAAGATTTATTATTAACAATATTAAAAGCAAAAAATTTAGAACAATTTATTGTTTAAGCCATTGCATGCGACAATCAATTACTTGAAAGGCATCAAGAATAAAGATTTGGCTAAAGAAGAACAAGTCAAGTAATGGCAGTAGCTCCCAAGTTTTCTAAAACATATTCATCAAGGCCAATGCAAATTGATATGTTATATTTTAAACCTCATACGGAGCAAAAAAAGACTTGATGTTGCCAAAAGGATTTGTATTTATATTATAGAAAAGCTAAGCACATTGCTCAAAATTATCCAAAGAAGCAACACAATTACAAAATAAAAAGCACAATTACAAAAGAAGATAATGTGTTAGAAAACAAGTTTTTTCAACTACAATAAGAACTATGCGGTTGGAGTCATATACAATACTTAATAAAGGTCCTATTCTCTCCTTAGACCCCTCATCTTGTTTTATAATAGATGTGTGTTTAGGACCTAAAAATCACAAAGTCTTTGCCTTATTAGATTCAAGAGCCTCAACCTATTTTATAGATGAAGATTTTGTCAAAAATCAAAAAATACCTTCACTCAAAAAAAACTAAATTTGTATATGTAGAAGTCATAGATGGTCGTTTGTTATCTTTTGGAAATATTACCCATGAGACAATTCCTTTAGATGTAGCAATTAGAGATTATAACAACATAGTAGTATTTAATATAATAAGATTTTCTTCCAATTTGGTTATTTTAGGATTATTGTGGCTAGAAAAAATATAATCCTCAAATAGATTGGATTTCTCGGAATCTTAATTTTTTTGATAGTATAATCCAAGGTTGAGTTAGTGATGTAGAAGTACATAAGTCTAATATATCCAAATCTTTATTAGTAGGTGCAAGAGCTTTCATGCATGCTGCAAAAGAAAGATCATCTTTTGCTATATATGCTACGCCCATTTCTAATGATGGAAAAATGTCAAGTTATATTCCTAGTCAATATCAAGAATTCTAAAATATATTTGAAAAGAAGAATGTAGATATTCTTCTAGAGCATCGACCTTATGATTATTCAATTGAATTGTAAGAAGGAGCTCAACTACCATTCAGACCAATCTATACCTTATCGCAGAATGAGTTGATTGCATTAAAGGAATATATTGATGAAAACTTGGCAAAGAACTTCATACACCATTTTAAATTTGTAGCCATGGCTATAATCTTATTTGTCAAGAAGAAAGATGGATCTTTGCGGATGTCTATGGATTATTGAGAACTCAATAAGATCACTATCAAGAATAAGTAACCTTTGACTTTAATTTCAAGACTTCATGACCAACTTAATGTCAAGGACAAGAACTCCATGAAAAAACAATTCCGACAAGTGAGCCTTCACTCAAAGAAAGGTAACAAAATATAAATAAACAAATATGTATATTGAAAGAGAAATTGGAATGGCTATTGCCAAAAGATAAAGAAACTAGAGACCCTTGAAACTAGACTAGAAGTAAGAAAGAAGTTGACAAGAGTGAAGAAGCCTTCACTCTTATCTCTATATATACTATCTAACTAGGGGCTATG